AAAGGTCTGCCACCATTTAGGAGATATTTATATTTTGCTGTGAGGGGTCCTTGGTGCTCTCTGAGGCTGGTTGTTTTCTTACAGAGCTTTTATTACCCAAATTAGGGAATACTTGAATACAAATATTCTCCTTGATTGGTAATTTGCATGCTAAATCAAGTGGCCCCATAATTACAGCATTAACAATTGAAATTGGCACAGGCATTAAATCTGCCTCTCTGCTGTTGTGGTTTTACTTTCCCAAATCTAGAAATTTGCTGTATAATTGTTTATATGTAATTTATAATCTAATAGGGATGAGAACTTCAATAAGATTGATCAAAAGATTAAGTTGAGATTCAGAGGATAAATCAAGAGAACCATTTTTTTTCTGACAACATAATTGGATGGACAAAATTGAGAGCTAGGGTTTTATTAATTTAATGGCAGCAATGAGAACTAAGGTATTGTGAATTTCCAAATGAAGGAACTAAAATATTAAATATTTCCTTTTTTTCAACAATGAGCAGTATTTTTATTGAAAAAATATTTTTAAAGGGAAATGCTCATTCAACTCAAAATTTTTTAATTGTTTTATACCCTAATGGCTAACCTGCAATTAGACTTGCTGTGATTTCATCCAATGGAGTTGAGTTAGATGCAGTTAACTTTGAAAAGTGCTTCCCTTTCTGCAGTAATTTTTATTCCCACTAGGTGGTCCTCCTGAATTTTGATTTAAACCAACTCAATTTATTAGAAAGAACTTCAAGGGATAGAAGGTGAGATTGCAGGCATTTTCTTTTCTTATTTAAGGGACTAATATGAAAATCTGTTGTGCCCATCGCTTAGTCCTACAACAGTCTATACATGGAAATGTACACATCTGCTTTGTAGAACTGCTGATACAGCTCAACCAAGGAATTATTGAGTCTGTTATTTATACCTCTATAACTGTCTGGTTTGGCACAGCAAGCAAACAAGAGAGACACAAACAATGGATAGTTAGGACTGCAGGAAAAAACAATTGCAATCAGTCTGCCTTCCATTGAGGACCTGTATATTACACAAGCTGGAAAGAGGGCTGTGAAAATGTCTACAGACCTCACACATCCTGGACATAATCTGTTTCAAGTTCTTCCCTCAAGATGACCCCAGAGGGCATTGCATGCCAAAACAACTAGATAAAAGGACCGTTTTTTTCTCCCATACCATCAGTCTGCTAAACAATTAATTGCCACAACACTGTCTATGCCCTGGGATGTCAAACCACCTAGTAAGGCTGTATTACTATCATCGTTCTCATCTTTTCTATTACCTGTTTCCTTAGCTTCTTATAACTATTACTTTGTTGTTTGTATCTATAATTTATGTTGACTGTTTTTATTTAGTATCCTATTATGACTTATGTTGATTGCTTATTTGGAATCCCATGATATCACTGTTGTATCTTATGATTTAGGATGATGGTATTTTATGATTATGATCATGATTTATCACTTGTTGCTTGTATGTACACTGAGAGCTTATGCACTGCAGACAAATTCCAATCACGCTTGGTCAATAAAGGATTCTAATCTAATCCACCAAAATCCTCACCTCCAACTTCTGAGGCTTTATACACAGAGTTCATGTGTGCATCCTTGACACAGCAGGTAGGAAACTAACAGAATAATAGAGTTGGAAGAGACCTTGGAGATCTTCTATTCCCACCCGCTGCTTAAGCAGGACACCCTATACAATTTCAGACAAATGGCTGCTCAATCTCTTATAAACCTCCAGTGTTGGAGCACTTGCAACTTCTGAAGGCAAGCTGTTCCACGAATTAATTCCTCATTTCCCCTTAGTTCTAGGTTGCTCTAAATCCAGGTCTTTCCTTACATCTTTCTGATAAAGGCGATTGATGTGGCCAAAGCAGATTGGAACTTGGAAAATAGCTACACAGAGATCCCTTTTGTGCAGTAATGTGTGCCGTAAATATATTATTTATATATTTTGTGGGGTTAGATTGCTTCAATCAGCAGTTAAGGCAACTTTTCCAATTCCTCATAGTGGAATAAGAAACCAAAACATTAAATCCAAGTCAAGTCATCCTAGAGCAACTTTCATAAGTGGGGAATTTTCTGTTGCATAGACTTAACTCCCAGTATTAGCAGTAATAGCATGTTGTAAAACTCTGGAAGGTGAAATTAGCCCCTTGGGAGGGTACTCAGATTTGGAAATACTGCTGTATGTATGGCCATATATGACTAGGTGACCAAATCCTGGGCAAAATTCAGAAAATAATAAAGCCTAATCTCCAATTGAGCATGGGGAAAAAACTGAGAATTTTTGAGTTAAATGCATTCATGTGAATTGGGCAGAACAAGTTTTATAGAAAGCATAGTTTGGGGAGAAGCAGTTGAGCCACATTCTGAATTTTTTTAATTACCTACCTGTAACCCCTGGACTGCAAGGCGATCAAACCAGTCAGTCCTAGAGGAGATCAACCCTGACTGCTCTTTAGAAGACCAGATCCTGAAGTTGAAACTCAAGTTGGCCACCTAATGAGAAGGAAGGACTCACTGGAGAAGAGCCTAATGCTGGGACAGATTGAGGGCAATAGAAGAAGGGGACGACAGAGAAGGAGGTGGCTGGATGGAATCACTGATGCAGTAGGTGTGAGCTTAAATGGACTCCAGAAGATGGTAGAGGAAAGGAAGGCCTGGAGGAATGTTGTCCATGGGGTCGCAATGGGTCGTACATGACTTTGCAACTAACAACAAACTTATTTCAGGAGAGACTATATCAAGCTGCAGAGTGAGAATGGTAAAGAATGGTTGTGAAAAGAAAAGGGGGGTAGTTAAGGGGAACAGGTAAAATGGTGACACTTTTTCTGAATGCATGTAAGTGTTATGATGCATCTGGCTAGACCTATCAGTTTCATGTTAGACATGAACCAGCATTATGAAAGAGGTGCTAAAGGAGACAAGTTTTGTATGCTATCTAGAGGCCACCGGAGTTGGGAGGTCAGTAAACTTAAATAAATTAATAATTAAAAAAAAACCCTATGCTGCTCTGCTCAAACTCTTTTTAGAGGCCTGTGTTTAGTCCTGGAAGTTTATAGGATAACTACTGAGATGATGATGAGTCTCAAATTTAAGTTGTATGAGAAATGGTTGAGAGATCTCTGCCTGCTTCACCTATAGAAGAGACGACAGAAGACTCAGCAACATTTTGTGGCCCAAAGGGGATTATAATGAGGTGGGACAAAAAGCTGAGGACTTTTCTTATCCAGGTATCGTATCTCTGTTCACTGAATGAAATGATCAGTGATTGTGCAGTTGCAAATTATTCTGATTGGAGAGTCGACTTGTCAATCACTAGTTCCACTGGATCCAAAGCTTTTCCTCCCTCCTCTCCTTAAATAGGGGGGAATCTTCCTACCCTGTTTGTTTGCTGTCTTCAGCTTTCGTGAAACCAAAAATTAGAATAGAACAGGCAAATGAAAATATGTTCCAGATTGTACCTCATACTCCCCACCTCATAACCTGAGTCTTGCTGCACAGATGCACGTCTCTTTATAATATTTATCTACTTTATGAAGAATTTCTGAATAATTGTATATGTTCTGGAGATACTGTGCCTTTGTATTGAGCTAACAGCTCATTATGATTTGCTCAACTCTGATTTCAGTTTCAGTAAACAGTAATCTATAGGGATTTTTTTTCTGCAAAAAAAGTTCTCCCAATTAAAATGAATTATGGAAAAGGAAAGCAAACTGTTCAATAGTATGAAACTGCAGACCAGGATTTTAAGAGTAATAGACCTTTGAAACACTTTTCAGCATAATCATCCTCCCAATCTTAGGAGTGGGGATTACTCACGCATATAAACTGCAACATATTTACGAATAACATCTTGCATAATGCAAAACCAGAATATTTTTAAGCATGCATAAACCAGACCGAGTACATATATTAATAATTTACTCAGAAGTGCATAGGAGAGAGACAGTGTTTGTCCTGTCGGGAATTTCATTGTGGGGTATGATTTTACTGTGTATTTTAGTCTTTTCTCTGATATCATTTTTAATGCCTTAACTCAGATTTGCACTGCTTGTGATCAATCAAATGCTGTCACATAATTATCAAGGCTAACCGTTTGTGATTGATGGTTGGTTGATTGATTATGTTCCTTCACGTTCTCAACTCTTAGCAATCACATAGACCAATTTTTCCTGTGATGATCTTTTAGATCTATCCCTAATCTTTTAGTTCTTCCAACAGTGAGCTGTTTATGAGATTAATAATTTTTAGCTGGTTGCTATATATGTAACCTTCATGAATTATGTCTGCCTGAATGGTTTAATGATTGCATAGGTCTGCATTTTCCATACCAGGGTTTTATTCAGCTGCTCTTTGCATTTTGTCTGCAATGTGGAGGACTTGTAATTCTTATGTAAGAAAATAGGTATGTACTGTACACTCAATTTGCAACATTACATATTTTTGTCCATTGATTTTATTCTTGCGTGACTTATCTAAAAGTATTGGCGGGAAGTGATCTGAGATCATTGGGTGTACAACTGCATTCACCAGATACTGAAGCAGTTGTGGTTGTTCACATCAGGATTCAGATGAAAATATTCTTTTTTAAAACTCATTTACTTCCATAACTCTTCTAATAGGAGTTCTTTCTCCATTAAGGAAGACTGTTATTAAATTTCACATCATATTGTGCAAACGAACAGATTGCAACCATTTCACACATACAGATATTCTGCCTTTTAATCCTGCCTTTTAAATAATTGTAGCCTAAAATAGGTTCTCGCCCTTTAACTACCATTTTTCCAATGAACTAGTTCAACGTCTCAGTTACCATGATAAAAAATCGACCCAATACCATCCATTTTTGCAGTCCTACGCTTGAATCTTCCTTCTAGAAAATATAAAACTTACGTGAGGGAAAGAAGAAATCAAATTGTTTCCTGTGCTCCTTTAAACTCTGATGCTAAATCCCATAAAACATGGAGGTCTGCGGAATTGTTTTCTGCAGTAAGCAATCATTTAATTAACAAAAAAATGAACAGGAGTTCAAAAAAAAGAGGAGTGTTTTGTTAGACATTATATATATATATAAAAAGAAAAGAAACAATATAGTAAATAACTTTATAGAACATGAACTTAAGTGTTTTGTACAAACGAATTGTGATAAGTTCCCAATGTCTCGTCACCATGATAATACTGAATGATGGTGTGCGCCGTGTCCATTACGTCGGAGGCCTTGGAATGGTAGAGCCTGTACATGCACAACATCTCCTTTCTCAAGATATGCAGCAATTCAGTTTAAAACAAGTAGCAAAGGAATGCAGTCATTCATTTCCTTTTGGATGAGTTTAATATTGTCAGTGAATTTTCCCACCCTTTGAGGGTTGCGGCTCCAAGGTGACGGCCTTCATTGGATAGATCTTTTCAAAGATGAGCTGCAGAGATAGAATTTGCAGTCTTTCCTGAACCTGAAACATCAGCTTCTCATAGACTGACCCTCAGAGAAAGGCCTTCATGTTTTCCCTGATGCATGTTCAGTAGTGGATATCAAAAAAAGTAGACAAATTCTTCGCAGAAGAAATTCTCTATGGCCTGTGGAATCTAGAAGTTAAAAGGAAAAAACAGTGACTATGGCAATTCTTTAGAACAGGGGTCCTCAACCTTGGCAACTTTAAGACTTGTGGACTTCAACTCCCAGAATTCCTCAGCCAGCAAAGTTGCCACGGTTGAGGACCCCTGCTTTAGAGGTTCTATCACAAAAAACAACTTCATGTAAGAAATGGCAGCATGCAATGACCTAAGCATCAGTCAGTCAGTCAGTTAGTTATTACCTACCTACCTACCTATTGGTAGTCAAATCAAAACTTTTATTTTCCTCAAAATTTTAAAGTTAAGGAGGAGCGGTTGCGTTTTTACTGAATTTTGATATTTTTTTGTGTGATATTTGATAACAATTTAAGAATTAAATGGCTTCTGCCCAAAGAAGTGCCACCAATTTTATCTTGAGTTCCTTAAAGTTAAATGTTTCACCTGAGCTGAAATCTCTTAAATTCATTTCACTTCTCAGTTTAGACTGGACTTTGGTAGCAACTCTGTGATTATTGCCAATCTTCCTATGCCAAGCAAACATAGTACATACAGTACAATAGCATCTGAAGAATTTCAAGCATGTAGACATTCTTTCATAAATTTTGCTCAGGTGAGGCAATTGCTCAGTAGATTATATTTGCAAATTGATTGCCATCAACAGATAGGTATACACACTTCAAGAGAATAATTACTGGAACTGCCTTTTGTAATTTTCACTGCTGAACTTGATCATACTACTGAATTGGTATTTCTGTGTACACCATAAGTTACTTTTTGTTTAAAAATGGTCTGTGCTCACTCAAATTGTGCTGAATATTTATTGATAATTTGACTTTTCAGGTTTGTTGTTGTTGTTCCTGTTTTTTTGCATAATAGCAGTGTATTTTTCATTACTTGACCAACTGGAAACTTATGCTTAGAGAATTACCAAGTAAATTGAGGTGAGTTTGGGATGAAAAGCAGACAGATCTGTTTCATTTCAATCACCTTGGGCACCCCAGCAACTCATGAATGAAGGCAAATAGGCATGCCCCGGCATAATGTTGCAGGATCCAACTGGGCTGGTCACCAGGACCAGAGGTTTAGTTTTCCGAGGTTTGGTCTTTCAGCTTCATGCTGGAGCCAATCTTGAGGGAATTTCTTATCAGAATGCGAGAAGGTGAAAGCTGGGAAGACTAAATCTCTGGTCCTAATGATCAACCCAGACTGCTCCAAGTCGTGGAAGAATGCTGAAGTAGGGTAGAACATTCTGCAGATTTTATAGATAATGATAGATAGATAGATAGATAGATAGATAGATAGATAGATAGATAGATAGATAGACAGACAGACAGACAGACAGACAGACAGACAGACAGACAGACAGACAGACAGATGATAGATAGAAAATTAGGTAGATTAGATAGATAGAGATGGATGATAGATAGATAAATAGATGATAGATACAGTGGTGGGATTCAGATATGTTCTCTGGGTGGATGCTGCTTCTGGAAGTCCATTCTGGGCCTAGGCAACGAAAGAATTAGCTACCGGTTCTACCAAACTGATGCAAACCGGCTGAATCCCACCACTGGATGGATGGATGGATGGATAGATAGATAGATAGATAGATAGATAGATAGATAGATAGATAAATAGATAGATAGATAGATAGATAGATAGATAGATAGATAGATAGATAGATTTGAGACACAGAGAGAATAGTAGATGGTACAGATTGGATAGATAGATGATAGATATAGATGGATGGATGGATGGATGGATGGATGGATGGATGGATGGACTGACAGACAGACAATGATATTCAAGGGATGAATACATACTATCTGGGCAACTGACCTTGTCAAATGCTTACTTGATGCATGTACCTCCATTTCATTACTTTTGTATTCATTTAGCTCTTTACGAATGGCTGCCTGAAAAATTCAAACAGAAACAAGGTGAATTAATCCTTTAAAACTGGCAAGAAAAGGCACAGCTTAAAATTTAACTGAAATGACATCTTATCCTTCTCAGTAAAGAATCATAAGCCCTTCCAATTGAACAGTTTCTTGAAGTCTGTTTCACATCCCTAGCTTGTGGGTGGCAATAGAGTAACTCCATCAATGGAGGGTTCCATGAAATGGCTCCTTTATAGGTTCTGTTTTTCCACCATACTTAACAAATCAAATTGAGCTGATTGCCATGTGTGAACAGGTAAAAGCCTAACGTGGTTGTGTTGTAAACATAGACACAAAAGTGATAAACGGATAGCGTTGCTCTCTGTTTTATATTCCACCCCCCACATCCAAAAGTATGGGTAAGGCCCCCAGCTCTGCCCATAGTGTTATAGACTTCAGTTATGCCATCCCAGTTTTTTTACCTTTCTAACAGTGTTTCTCAACCTTGGCAGCTTGAAGATGTATGGACTTCAACTCCCAGAATTCCCCAGTCAGCACAGTTGGCTGGGGAAATCTGAGAGTTGAAGTCCACCCATCTTCAAATTGCCAAGGTTGAGAAACAGTGTATCTAACTATATTGTTCAAAAGCAAAACATCGGGGATTGACAGTGTGAGACTGTCAAAGATGATAACTCCCTGGTTATCTAAGGCGCTGTAAGTTGAGAGGCCATATAAATATTCTTAATAAATCGTAATAAAGAAGTGAATTGCAAAATCACACCTTACTGTGCTAAATAAAGATCGATATGCCTCTCTTTGGATCTATCTCCAGCTTGATGGCACATGGCCAAAATATGTGAATATATTCTCAATTGACCTGTTGTACTATTCTTATATGAGCAGCTTGGCTGCAGTGATTTTTCATTTCAGCACATGGAAGGAAAATCTATTTCAAAGATTCATTTCTCAATGTAAGCAAGGTATATTGCAAAATCTTAAATGGAAATATAAACTGTCACGAAGCACCACCTACTCAAAACTACTGGAGAAATCAATAAGGCACAGGAACCATTGAAGCTCAACCATTCTAAGTGGGGATAGGCATTCACCGGTATCACAATAGGGTACCTTATTCTTTGTTTCCTCTGATGAAAAAGCCTTATAATCATTTAGGAAATTATTTGCTGAAATGGGTGGCTGTAAAACACTTTAGAAAGAGTGCAGAGAACCGCAACAAAGATGATTAGGAGACTGGAGAATAAAACATGCGAAGAACCATTGCAGGGATTGGGTATGTCTAGTTTAATAAAAAGGACTAGGGCTGACATAATAGCAGTTTTCCAATATCTAAAGGGCTGCCACAAAGAAGAGGGGTTCAACCCATTGTCCAAAGCACCTGAATGCAGGACAAGAAGCAACGGATGGGAACAAATCAAGAAAAGAACCAACCCAGAACTAATAAATTTTCTGACAGAACAATTAATCAGCGGAATAACTTGCCTCCAGAAGTGGTGGATGTGCCAACACTGGAGGATTTGAAGAAGACCATTGGACAACTATTTGTCTGAAATGGTTCAGGGTTTCCTGCCTGAGCAGGAGACTGGACTAAAATACCTCCAATTTCCCTTCCAACTCTTGTCATTCTTTTATTCTGTTAAAAGCATATGTTACAGAAGAAACATCACAATACCTTGTCTGCTGCTGAAAGCCTGGTCCATGGCTTGTCTGCTCGTCGGTCGTAATCCTGTGCTTTTGCCACTTCCACATAATCACTGAATCGGATGAGGATTTTTCTGTCTCTTAATTCATCAACCGTAGGTCGTTGATTAAGCTTTGGGAGGAAAAATTCATGAAATGTAAGAGCTATAAAAAATGACTAGGATGAAGAATATTAATGGAAATGTCTAAATTTCCTTTCTGCTGACATTTTTGGGACACAATTAGGAATGTAAGAAAAAAAAACAGCATGCAAAAGGTATTCCTGTTTGATACACTTGTTCATTCATGACCAAAGTTTAGAGTATGACACTCCTTGGGCTACTTTAGAATTGTTCTGTTGTAAATAGCAATAGCACTTAGACTTATACGCCACTTGATAGTGCTTTACAACACTCTCTAAGCAGTTTACAGAGTCAGCTTATTGCCTGCAACAATCTGGGTCCTCATTTTACCGACCTCAGAAGGATGGCAGGCTGAGTCAACCTTGAGCTGGTGAGAACCGAACTGCTGGCTATGGGCAGAGTTGTAAACTGGATACCTCCTAAGAAACTTTTTAATACTTTTTAATGCTGTGTTTAGTACTTTGAAAGCTTCTCTGCTTCTGACATGCCCTTCTTTATATATTACATTAGGTACATAATTTCTTGATTTAGGTTCTGAGTTCCCAGCAGAGTATACCACTAGGAAGGCACACCTGAAAAATATATTTTGAAACACAATCTATTAAAACTATGAACATGAAAAACCTATGATCAAAGTTGAACTTATGTCACACAGAATCCTGGACCAAATGGACCTCTGAGGCCTAAGTCTCGCAAAGTATTTCTTAAAGTCTGATGGACTGGCATTCAATAATGAATGCCATGCCTTGTCATTGCTTGTGTTGGATGTGCCCATCCCCATTTCAGCATGTGTGGGTGCCATTTCTCTGATAAAAATGTAGTGGGTATAGGAGGAGGATGTCATTTTTACAGATCTGTGTATAATCATTCCTGCGCTTAACGTGCATTCCAGTGTGTTCTTGGCTCTAGATGGCAAAACATCCCTTGAAACTCTGCAGTAGAAAGCTTCTGGACACCTGTCGGAGCTAGACCTGCCAAAAATTGTTTACAGCCATCTTCAATGTTCTTAACAATCTTTCCCCTTTCTGCTGCCAGCTTGCTCACTCAGCTCCTGGCAGCAGGGAGAGAAAACGGGTGCTTGGCGCTGAGACCGGGCACGTCTTTGAAAGAATCCTTCACTTCCATGAAGCTTTGTTCAAAAACTCCCTTGAGGTTGGTCTGCAGATCAAGAAGTAAGTGTAAGCATGAAGCAAGCCCGTTGCTCCACGTTACCCTGCGTTGCAAACAATCTTTTCTGAGGTAACACTGCAAGAAAAGGGAGAACTTGGTCTAGTGGTTAAGCAGGGGTAGGTAACCTTGGGTCTTTCATGACTCATGGAGCTCAACTCCCAGAATTCCTGAACCAGCCATGCTGAGGGGAAAGGGAGAGGTTTCCAAGCTGAGCTATGCTGGCTCAGGAATTCTGGGAGTTGAAGTCCACGAGTCATAAAGCGGCCTAGGCCTAGGCCAGAGATAGGCAACCTTGGCCCTTTTATGACTCATGGACTTCAACTCCCAGAATTCCTGAGCCAGCCATGCTGAGGGGAAAGGGAGAGGTTTCCAAGCTGAGCTATGCTGGCTCAGGAATTCTGGGAGTTGAAGTCCACGAGTCATAAAAGAACCAAGGTTGACAACCCCTGGGTTAAGGCATCAGGCTAGAAAGCTGGGTGGGTGACTTTGGGCTAGTAATGACTAGCTGTTGCTGTTGTCAAGGGAAATAAGAAAAGAAAGGAGCACTGTGTTCACTGCCTTGAGAAATAATAAAGGCTAAATTTATTTATTTATTGGTTTATTTATTTATTTATTTCAAGGTAATGAAACTGAATTGCATTCCCTTCATCGTGCACTTCTATTTGTCAGTGCAAACATAAGTTGGAATCCGTATAGATAGCCCTCAATTTACAATAGTTCGCTTAGTGACGGTCCAAAGTTAGAATGGCACTGAAAGAGGGACATATGTCCCCTTTTCACACAACTATTGCAGCATCCCCATGGTCACCTGATTGAAATTCAGACTCTTGGCAACTGACTCATATTTATGACGGTTGCAATGTCCCGGGGCAGGGGTGTCAAACTGCCGGACCATGGGCCGGTTGCATCATGTGGAGGCCGTGCCCATCCCAGCTCTGGCAATGCGAAAAAAATTGTGATATGTCGCAACACGTCACGTGACGTGGCAAGTTTGACACCCGGGTCCTGGGGTCATGTCATCCCCTTTTGCAGCCTTCTGATAGGCAAAGTCAGTGGGGAAGACAGATTCACTTAACAACCGTGTTACTAACTTAACAACTGCAGTGATTCTCTTAACAATGGTGGCAGGAAAGGTTGTAACATAAGGTAACATTCACTTAAATGTTTCAATCAGCAACAGAAATTTTAGGCTCAATTGTCGTCGTAAGTCAAGGACTACCTATGCTGTCCACTATCTTACTAAAGGACTACAGGTAATCCTCAACTTATGACCATAATTGAGCTTGCAATTATGGTTGTAAGTTGGGACAATCGTTAAAAAGATCATCACGTGACTGCCCCAATTTTACAACATAACTTGCAGTGATTTTAAGCAAACACCATGATTGTTAAGCAAATGCCATGGTTGATAAGCGAACCCTTTGTTCCCCATGGGTGTTTTTTGCTGGAAACCACAAATCAACATCGGTTTCTGGCAAAAATGTCATAAATCATGACCATGGAATGCTGCAAACAGCCATAAATGCAGGCTGGCTGCTTAGTGCTCAAAAACATAGTTACGTGACCACATAGGAAGTTTGAATCCAATTAAGTACCTTTTCAGGGTTCATAAAAACAGAATCATAGGACTGGAAGGGACCTTGGAGGTCTTCTAGTCCAACCCCCTTCCCTAAATGGTTGCTAAGCAACCAGTAGTAAGTTGATAACCACCTACATTCAGATATTCTCTCTTTTAAGGAATAGAGAGTGCAGCTAATGGGTTGCTAGGCACTTCCTGATAACCAGTAGATTTGTTGGCTGTGATAATTTCCTATAATCTAAAAGATAATCGTTGTGAAATTCACCGCGAACAAGACCAGTTCAAGAATGGATGCCCAAGAACAAAGAAGCACACAATGTACATTTGTTGCCAGGGGATATAGTACTACTTTCCCACTCATTCAGTCACTCAGCATCTGGAAGGATTTGAAAATCCTACATGAGGAACTTGGATGAAATGGCAGAAAATTTCACTCTCATCTATACTTTCTATTCATAGAACCTGAAAGTATATTGAGAGGGAAACTTGCAGGAGCTTTTACAATGTATTTTTAATACCAGACTATATTTAGAACTTCCACAAAACATTTGTGCATTCTCTTGGGGAATGAACGAACAAATGCATCCCTTTCTGAGAATTGTTCTTAGGTAGCACTTCTTGTTACTGGCATAGAGAAATGTAATGTGGCTGATTATCAGAAAGCTTTGGCTCAGCATTAATTCCAATTGCTTGCATTAGGATCCTGTCTCTTGTAAATAAATACCCAGTCCCATTTTTAACTCTGTATATTGAGTTTTTGGTGTGAGGAGTCCCTGACCTAGAGAGAGATCCATACTGAGGAAAAAAAATTGCAAAATCCTTGCCTTCTATTCAGTTTGTGTGCAACATGCTTAGGTGTGATGCAATAGGAATCTTCCTCAATTATAAAATTGTGATACATTTAGCACGTCTTCTAACTGGATCTAAAATCCAAGCTGATCAGACATAATCCCTTTTACTGTTTAATAGAATCGCAGAACTTATAGATTTATGAGATAACTTTATAGGTCATCTAGTCCAGTCCCCTTCTTAGAGTAGTCATTCACCAAATTTGTTCCTGACAGATAACCATCCAGCCCTTTTTGAAAACTTAAGGAGCGATGGAATCAACCATAGCTCTAGATAAACCATGATACTGCTGAGAATTCTTACAATCAGGAATTTCCTCTTGAACATGAATCTTATTTTCTTTTATTTCAACCCACTGATTCTTGTCTTGTACTTAGTTTCTGCAGAAAACAGGAAAATTCCCTCTTGTATAGCCTTTTACATGCACCTTAGTCATCTAATTTGCAAAGCTAAACACACCTAATTCTTCATAAGGTTTGGTTTCCAGTTTCCTTAGTATTATAGTAGCTCTCCTCTGAATTAACTCCATATTCTGTTTAATGCCCCAACAGGACACAATATTCCAGGCATTATGTAGGGGTAGAGTAGAGACTACTCTGTCATTATTACCTCCTGTGATGTGAATGCAATGTGTCTGTTAATGTAGACCAAAATTGTATTGGTTTTTTTAGCTGCTGCATCACACGGCTTTCTCTTATTTAGATGGTGACCCAGCAAATGGCCAAGAACCTTCTCATACACGCTGTTGCCCAGCCAGGTCTCCTCTAGCTATGTGTTTAATTTTGCATATTCAGAGAACAATAATACACTTGTCATAGTAGAACCTCACACTTTTAGTTTGGCTCAGTTACCAAAGCTGTCAAGAAAAGCTTGAAGCATGAATTTGTCCTCTGAGATGTTAGCCAGCGCACACATTCCTTATTAAGCTACATGCAAATGGTAAATTGCTGTCCAGCAAAGGATATGATTTAATTATGCTTATTTTTGGACTGTATCCAAAAGACTGTATAATTCTCTCAAAGGTGTTATCAGAGGTGAGAAAAAGTTGCAGGACCCACTCCAAAGCATCTTCTCACTGCTAGTCAGGTTTCAATAGCTCAGACAACATAAGTGAGAAAATCAGTTTGGGAGCAGCAGCATCGCAGTAACTATATGTTAAATATTTGGTTGAGACAGAGAAGATGTAGAGGGACCTTACCTTTCTCGTCAGCCTCTGCTTGATCTCTCTCCTTTCCTCTTGTTCTGTTTGATCATTCCTTTCTGCAGAAAATATGAAGAGAGAGATGACTTTCCTCATCAAGACCAACTTTGCTGCCCTGTCTTTTTCACCACCAGCTCTATTTACACAGCTCAGTCGGTTTGGTATTCTGCCAGAAGCATCGCACACTCCTTAGCATGAGGGTTACACAGATGCCAATGTCAGTTCTCCTCGCTGGTGGCCAATTAAACCGGACTTCAACAAATGTGGATCAGCCAACCCTGTTTCTCCATCAGGACAATGAGGAGTGTTTTCAGAGGGAAAATCGATAGACTTTTAAAAGTCTAAATGATCGTTTTGTGATGCCACATCTCTCTCTGAGTCATCCGTGCTGCCCTTACAAGCTGGAACATTGTAGAGAAGCTGCTTCAGGGAACACACGTTCCTTGTACACTTACTCGGTTAGGCTCCTGTAATTTTGTTGATTAATTTATAACAATAGCCAGCAATCAACACCCATGCATTCCTTTGCCTTCTAATATTCTGATGATGCCGATCTTATTATAGATTCTTTCTACATTTGGCAGAGAGGGCGGGGGAAGAAGGGATTCCTTGTCTATAAAAGAAATTGTTTCTTAAAGAGATACTCTCTGTAAATCCCTTCCCTTTCATACACCGAAACTATTAGTATTCAAGCTTGGTCATTTTCACACAATGGGGCTAAAAATAAGCACGGCTGCAGCTGCTGCAACACTGTGTGAAATATATCCTTAATTTTCAGATGTGAGTTAATGGATTTTCTATATCAAGGGCTGCCTGTCGCTAAATTAAGCTATGCACGTGTGACCTGAAAAAAAGCAGGTTTAAAAAACCATTTTAGGAGAAGGGAGGGAGGGAGGGAGGGAGGGAGGGAGGAAGAAAAAGAAAGAAAGAAAGAAAGAAAGAAAGAAAGAAAGAAAGAAAGAAAGAAAGAAAGAAAGAAAGAAAGTAAGAAAGATAGTGGAACAAATTTGCATTGCATGTTGTCACAGTAGCCCCACTAGAGGGCATTTTCTGCATTAAATCAAAAGCACAATTTCTGCATCCATCAATTGGTTAACTAGCATTAAAAATGGTGCTTGAAGGGGGGGGGGGAGGGAAGGTATTTTTAGAGTCCAAATCTCTATATTTGCTCCCTCCCAAACTCTCAGAACAGAGGCAGCCACATGGTGCTATTTATGGAAGGAAGGATAGTAGCTGTTTTCAGAGACACCGTAACTGGAGAGAGACTGAAATCTTTGCAGACTTGACAATGAGCAGCTGAAGCTCTGTCTTGAATATGAATTAGAGGCTTCAGAAAAGATGTGGTTTCTGTTTAGGTAGCCTCAGATATATTTTTAAAAAGCAGGAACACATGCCACCGGTGATTATAAAATGTTAGCAACATATCTGTAGGGCATCATATTACCTACAAATTGCATTTGTAGAAAGAATTAGTAGGACCATGCAGTCCTTCAGATTTTATTTCCAAAAGACATTTCAGAATGAATATGTGAATGCTTGTAGCACTGATATACAACTTTTCACAGCCGTTTCCTTGTTTTCCAAGATCATGTGGCAGCTGCAAAGGGCAAGAACACATTCCTAGGAAAAGATGTAGCTGTTTTAAAGAGTTGTAGAGCCTACACTTTTGCTCTGGCATTCACTAAAGCAGCTTTCTGGGTTTTACTTGCTATTTCTTTTTCTTTGTTAGATGTATATTATGCACTTTATTCAAGAGTTTAAGGCAGTAAAATAGCCTTTTTTTTTTTTTTTTTAGAAAAGTCTTATAGGTTTTGCTGAGGGAGCTTCCGTGGCTGAGGGTGGATTTCAACTATGATCTCCCTGTTGCTCTTGAATGCAATAGCTGCACAGCCCTAATAATTAATTTCTAATTTAGCCGGAATTTTTGCTTATGAACAGGAGGAGGAAGGAGTGGGGAATAGCATAGGAATGGAAATCGCTACCTCAGCTGCTATGGAAAACCTGTCAAGGAAGCAGTCTTAATTTTGCATAATAGGAAAATTCATGAGCCTCCTGAAATAACATTGACTACTAATCATAAATGTATTTGAGCTGGTTGTATACACCCCTTTTAGGACTTTCAAGGTCCAAGATCTGGACACACACACACACACACACACACACACACACACACACACAGTGGGTGTTGTCCAAAGTCCTCCTCTACTGTAGGAAACTAATCTTTTATGAGATGGAATAGATTATTAAAGACAGTCTAAATCAAATCTAACCTATTAGAAGGAGGAGCATGGCAGTCTAAATGAAATCTAATCTACACTATTCTCATTGGCATCCTGAACCCATCCATTCCATCCTGTATTGGATGCACTCCTCCAGTAAAGGGACACAAAGAGGCTTCATGCCCATTCAAAAGAAAATTTGACCCTCTCTTTTTCACACTCAATTTATACATTACTGGTATCTGTGGAGATTCCCAGTCCTCCAGGTCATAGTTGTCTCAAAAGTGCTTTTTCAAAAAGCAACTGGACTGTTTTTTCCTAGAAGAAGAAGGAGAAGGAGGAGGAGGAGGAGGAGGAGGAGGAGGAGGAGGAGGAGGAGGAGGAGAAGGAAGAAGAAGAAGAAGAAGAAGAAGAAGAAGGAGAAGGAGAAGGAGAAGGAGAAGGAGAAGGAGAAGGAGAAGAGAAGGAGGAGAGGAGGAGGAGGAAGAAGAAGAAGAGAGAAGAAGAAGAAGAAGAAGAAGAAGAAGAAGAAGAAGAAGAAGAAAGAAGAAGAAGAAGAAGAAGAAGAAGAAGAAGAAGAAGAAGAAGAAGAAGAAGAAGAAGAAGAAGAAGAAGAAGAAGAAGAAGAAGAAGAAGAAGAAGAAGAAGACATTTTGTTTCTCATCCAAGAAGCTTCATTGGTTCTGGCAGAATAGTAGAAGTGATGGAAATCCTTCCATCTATCTAATCTTAATCTAATCCTTCCATTGCCCCCACATTCTGCCAGAACCAATGAAGCTTCTTGGATGAGAAATGAAACTACTTCTTCTTCCCCTTCTCCTCCTTCTCCCTCCCTCCTTTCCTCCCCTCCTTCTCTTCCTCTTCCTCCTCCTCCTCCAGTTTCCTTTTGAAAAAGCACATTTGAGACATAACGTTACTGGTGTTTCCCTGAATTAACATCCATTTGGTTTCAGTTGCATATAAATAATAGGTTTTTCTTTTGTAGTACTTTGGATCGGATATCTTAAAGGTGCTTCAGGGCTTGCAGGAGTCAGAGGTAGCATCTGTCTAGCCTTCTTAAAATGCTCGTGACTTTTCCAAGGATTGCAAAGACACAAGTGCTTTAAGGTCAGGTAGGTATCATATATATGCTCCTATGTGCTTCAAAGCACCTTAAAGGAATCAAATCTAAAGGGCTGCACCTCCATCGTACATCAAATTAATGGCTTTAGCAAATCTAGCAAGTCCCCATGGCATCATATAATGCCACTACCACTACTGTCAAGAAGGTGTGCTACTTGTGTGGGAATAGTCCACCATGTGTCCATCCCACATGACTTCAAAGGCATTTTCTCCCCAAGAAGCCACCGCTCCAGCTTAGGTGTCTGCTTTTTCTTGCCCTTGGGGGATGGGCTGACCATTTGATCTTCCCTGATGACCCAATGTGACCAAATCCTGCCATGCAAGAGGGATTTATAATATCATAAAGTTACACTACTGCCAGGAAAATGAATGAGCCCCGTAATAGCAGTCTGCTCTTCTACCTATTAATAATTAAGTATCTGACTGCAGGCCTGTCATCTTAATGAGACAACTCCTTCGGCTCCAAAGTGGCAAATGCACCAGTGTAATTTACACCCTTGCTCTTGACAAGGTTTCTAAATTAGCTACAACACTGAAAGAATCAGTGGAGTAGGCCTGGCGGGGCAACCAGCAGCCTTGGGAAGAAAGCAAAACCAAACCACTCTCTCTTTCTTTTCAAACATGCCCAGGAAAATCTTGAGGTTTCAATGGTACCATTGCTCCTTGGCTCAAGGAGCCCATATAATGAAAGGGGGCTATGAGAATAACCTTGGGAGATAGGAGGAAGGAGTCACATAATAGATAAGAGAAACCTGAACCCAGAGGAAGGATGGGGATGGGAAAACATCTCAGGAGGCACCTTCCCTAGTTCTTTGGAAAGGGAAGGGAGCTTTCATTCTGTTACTGTAACTTTAACAGTAAAGTTAGTGTTAGTATTTACGCATTTGGTTTTCTGCCTGCACTACTTTGAAGGGCTGACATAGGGTGAGATGGAAGGCACTCCTTCTAGAGGGAGATTCAAATTTGAAAACCATCAGGTGGAACAATATTTGTCAATACTAGCAATACTAGTAGACACAGCAGTAATTCCTTGACATCTAAAGTGGGAAAAGAGGGAAAAGAAGGAGAAAGAAGGAAGAAGGAGAAAGGAGGAGGAGGAAGATATAGCAGTAACACTAATTAGAAAGGTCCTTCTCAAGCCAGTATGACACTGGAGTAGGAGAAGACTTGTCTCACAATGACAAATGCTGGTTCAGCCCTAGTTAGCTTTTATTACACTAAAGTTGCTGCAGTAAAAATAATTGTCTGTCAAACTTACCATAAGTATCATCAAATCTCCCCCCCCCATATATCTTATCTATCATATTTATATGCCACCCGTCTCACAGAAATGTGATTGATTACAATTGATTACAAATGATTTCTTGTAAACCTAGAAAGGCTCTTCTTGAGAAAAGCAGCACCAAGGTTCTTTGACAGCACAGTCGGCGAGACTAAAAGCTGAGAATCACTAGGCCAGCGGTTCTCAACCTGTCGTCCTCTTGGCACTATCTATCTATCTATCTATCTATCTATCTATCTATCTATCTATCTATCTATCTATCTATCTATCTCCCTCTCCCTGCCTGGGCGCTTCTCCAACCAGGCTGGGCAGAGCCAGTGGAGTGGCCTTCCTGCCCCCCCTCCCCAGCCAGCTGGAGCCGGGCAGGCTGGCGACCTTCGGAAGTGAGGCGAGGACAGGCGAGGCGTGCTGAGCCCTGGGCGTGGCGGGTGAGTGG